TTTCAGACAAGATGATGTACCATTACCGGATTTACTGGAGCGAACGCCCAAAACGGGCAAACGAAATTCTTTTTAGAGAGACCCCTGATAGCTCAATTTACGGATAGACAAAAACCCACGTTTAGTATTCACACACCTCTCGCAATGTGATTGATCATCGTCAGCCAATTGGGATGGGCTTGGTGATCTAAACTCCCTTGTTGGCTCCCGTTACGGTGCACATGGAGCTGTCATATGCAGATAATATATCACATCGTGCCCACACATCGTCGCTTTCCTCTGTGCGAATTACGGATACGTTGTCATTTATCGTTCGCCCCCAACGTGACGCTGCGCGTCGATTCAATCGCTTGCTTGTTCAGGGGACTTGTAACCGAAACCGAAGAGCCGAAAAGACCGAGGAAGGCCTATCGGCTCTTGATAGCTGATAGCGCGGAAGAGCCCCCAGCATTATTAGGTTGTGCTTCTTCAGCACACAATCTGCAACTTTATTTGGAGTTGCTGCGGCCTTACTGCGACCTGCCACATTGATCTCCAGACAATCGCTACGGGACCCCATTCCGAGTCCCGACGACCGCCACGTTCCGTCGGCTCGGAACTGGCACTGCAGAAAGCGCGGAACCGAACCGAAGACAAGCTTGAACCAAGTTGAACCAACATCAGGTTACAGACCAGGAATGTGGGATACTCCGTAGTTTCCCTGAATAAATACGTCATCATCCTGAGACTCCCCCCACGCCGACGGTTTTTCCGGTTGTCATGCAAAAGGCAGATATTTTCATGTTTTCTTCATCCCACCGGTGCGCGCGCCGGCAACTAGGGCGGCAACTAGCGGGATTTTGCGGTTTATTTCTCAGGGCTCTTAGCTAATAAACTGCTAAGTCAGCGTTGTTGACAATTCAGTCCCCGATTTTCGATCACCGCGCCAAGACGTACATAAGGAGGGCCTCGGCATCTTTTTTATCTATGAAGAGGAGCCCCGAACTGATTTTGTCTGCAGTTCGGCGTTCAGATAGCAGACAACGACGCCAAAAGCTGATAAGACCCGCTACCAAACGACGGACCATGGCCGAACAGCCCAGAAAGACTCAAAGAAGCATTTTCTCATTCACCGCCCAGTGTAACCTAACCATAATCGCACAAGAATTATCAATCGTCAACTCCACTACTCCGAAGTTTCGACGAGGTTCAAATGCCTCAAAGCCGTTGGCATTCGCAGATTCCAGAAGAGGTCCGAGACGTTGGAGGATTCTCGCAATGTGACATGATGAAGCCCCCCTCGTTGCGGACACATTTGACTAGGGGAGTCCGCCTCATAAATGCCAAAAATGATGTGTAGCTTGCGAGTTCATCATTGTACGAGTGAAATGTTCAGTAATAGACTGCTCTGACACTTTTTGTTTTCCGTCTACCGCAGCCTGCAACGTTGATCCCTATCCGCTCTGGCCGATCCGACTTCCTCATTGGGCCTCGAACCACCATAATCCTCAAGCTTTCTGACTCTTCAGACCGCGTCAAGACTTGTCTGGTCTCCGAGACGTTGGAAGTTTCCCGAACAATAACAGCCAGGGCCACTGTGCCTGACTTACACCTTATTTTACTCGCGGCCCCTCGCCTCAGGTTATTTACATCCCACCTGGAAACGGTAAGGTTACCGCTATACTTTCCCCCAAGTCATCGCAACAACGACATACTTGGAGGTCCATCTGGTCTCTGTAACGTGGCCTGCGACCGCGGGCGGCGCAACCCGAGCTGCGGCGAGGCCCAGGCGGCTTTTTGAGGGGTCCGTGGAGGGCTCCGTCTATTGTACTTAAACAAAATGGAAGGCTAATTTTCCATTGTTGCCCGTTCTTTTGCTCAGGTGGGAGAACTGGATAGATGTCAGAAAGGCCTGCTGAGCAAGCTCTTTACCTATCGTTAATTCATTCATTTCGTCGTCGTCGCTGGATGATCTCTCGCTCTGTTAATCAAGCCGGCCTTGACAACGAATCAGTACGACCAACGCCACAGCCGCAGTCAAGTCCACCAATCGAGGAAAGGACCGCACGACATACCATCCCGGTAGTTGCATCACCGCCGCCTGCAGCGCTAGCAATAACCGCGGTCGATACTACCCAACCTATTCGTATTGAGAGAACCATGGAGTACACATCCGATAAAGAAAAGCCCTACGGGCCGGGCGAAGACCCAATGCAGAAGCTCGATGAAGAGAGCGGTAGCGATGGTATTGATGAGTTCAAGTCACCGCCGCCGTCGCCCACTAAGCCGACGGGGCCCCCGAATGGAGGCTTGAAAGCCTGGATGCAAGTTCTTGGCTCGTTTTTCATTTATTTCAACACGTGGGGTAAGTCATAAGTCGGACCATCCGCCCATACAATAATTTCAAGTCCTGTGCACTGCCTTTTTTGGGCAAATGAAAACCCGCGGGCTCCCGCATAGCCTGCATCAATTTGGGGATTAAGCCAAGCAATGAGCGCGTTCAGAACTAATCGTATTCCAGGACTTGTTGCCAGTTTCGGTACCTTCCAGGTCTACTATGAGGGTCACCTCCTGAAGGAACACAGCTCTTTCGCTATTTCCACAATTGGCTCGTTGCAAAGTTTCTTGATGGTGTTCCTGGGCCTCTTTGCCGGCCCCATCTTTGATTTGGGATACGCCAAGCAACTTCTCTGGGTGGGAACCACATTGATCGTCACCGGGTCTATCCTCCAGAGTCTCAGCCACAATCTTTGGCAACTCTTGTTAACACAAGGTCTCTGTGTCGGCGTTGGACAGGGAAGTTTAGCTGTGCTAGGAGTTGCTATCTTATCGCCGTGGTTCACGACTAAGCTACCCATGGCAACCGGCATTGCAGCGGCTGGAAGCGGTGTTGGCGGGTAAGTCTTCCCTCACCAAAAATCTCCGGCTCAGAAAGTATCCCGCCGGCTAAGGCTGGCCATCCGTACTAACATCGTGTTCTCATAGCCTGGTATTGCCGATTCTTTTCAGATCGATACAGCCAGAAATTGGCTTCCGCTGGACTGTGCGCACCATGGCGCTGATCGCGCTCACAACCCTTAGCATTTCCATCGTGACCATGGAACCGCCTAAACCTTCAGCTTTCAGAAGACCCTTGATTGACCGCACTGCCTTCAAAGACGCCCCGTATCTACTTTTCGTGGCCGCCTGCTGCCTCGTGTTCCTTGGCATGTACACTCCGTTCGTCTACATTCCGGGATACGCGTTGGCAAGGCATGCTGTCAGCACAGAGATCGACAAGTATCTGCTTGCGATCCTCAACGGCGCATCCATTGTCGGCCGCACCGTACCAATCTTATTCACCGCTCAACTCGGTCGAATGAACATGCTCATCGTCGCAGTAGCGGCCTTATCCATCTCGGCATTCTGTCTCTCGGCAGTCACCCACACTCCTGCGTTGTTGGTGACGGTCATCTTTTACGGAACCAGCAGCGGAGCATTCTTCTCTCTGCAGCCGGCTACATTTTCTCTTCTCACGGAGGACAAGAAGTACATCGGAACCAGACTTGGTATGGCTTATGCCGTAATGTCTGTTGCTCTGTTGCTAGGTTCTCCCGTTGGCGGCGCACTCGTACGCTCTGTAGGCTACATTAGCGCCTGGATCTGGGCAGGAGTGACCCTCGGGCTGGGTAGCATCACAATCGCATGTTCGCGAGGCATGGCAACTAAGTGGGATTGGAAGAAAACGCTTTAGTTGTCCCAAATTTTGCATAATCAGACTGGTCTAATAATATAGAGATGATACCCTGATAGATTTCTGTAGAATAGCTTATCCTAGATGACTCACCGCTTAATGCTTACACGATGTTGATGCCACCGATCCGGATGTATTTTGCTTCGCCTCATGTGCGATGTCGAGTCTATTTGAGCCAGCTCTTGGCAGATGATCTTTCATCCCGTGGACTACAATAGTTCTACAGTGATAATGTAATTATGAAGTAATGAACGCTCTCTGCGCACTCCTGCATGGTCAATAGATTCCCAGGCAGATGCCCAAGTAGTTGGCTTCGACTGAGGCACCATTTCCCACACTCAGTGCAAATTTGGCTCTCCCGTACATAGTGAGACACTGACTAGTAACCATCCCAGCTCGGATGAAAATTGTATACGCGGCACGCATAGAACCAGTCGTGCCAGGAACCATCTGGGGTGACATCTCACGCGTCCAATTAAGCATATTCGAGGCTGTTTCTTTTATGTAAGTAGCGTATCCTCTTGGCACACACTCAGCCTCTTGGCCCCTATTCTCTTAGTCACTTTGTCTCGCTCCATCCACTCGGCATTGTCTACTTCAGCATGGATAAAGTAAACAGAACGGAGCACCCGATGAGTCGGATTCTCCAGCCAACGCCAAGAAATTGATAGGTGTTCCACACGTAGTTTCCCATGGCAAGCACAAACCTTCCGTATCCTTGGTAGAAAACCATCGGCCCTACTTCAAAAAGGACCCTGAGCTCCACTACGGATTCAGTGGAGATCAGGCAAAAGGGTCAGGGCCCTGGCCAGGATTCGAACCTGGGGCCTCTTCCAGGTGGATGTGTTTAATGACAACCCTAAGGAAGAATCATACCGCTAGACCACCAGGGCGTTGGCAAACTCACGATAGTCGGTAAGTTGCTGGGAGGAGCGGCCGTTGCTTCGTCTCTTCATCCACAGCGAGCAATGCATCAAGGGCTCGACATGTCGTGTTGCTTCATCCAGAATGCGCACGGACCCTGAAGTGACCGACTAGAACAATGGTGTTGATGTAGCTCTGTTTCTTATGTACATTGGAACAGCAAATACTTGTTCCAGCGGTGCTTGTTGTGGGAAGTGCTGTGAGAAGTAGCAACTCGTGCGGATAGACCAAAGTTCATGGCGCTTTGGAGCCTCATTTCACCCGTGGGAGCATTCGATTATGCCTCAATGCTGTTTTCTGGTATTTCAAGCATGCTAAAACGAGATGCTGTGAAGTAGTTGCAAAGAAATCTTTTGCTAGATAGCTATTGTTGTCGGGGATCATACGAGACTGTGGACTCGTGGGTGACTTGAATTCGAGCGGCCGTTGACGGCGTGACTCGACCATCGTTTCTATTCGCAAATGCGGCAGACTCAACGCCATTGAAGTCAACTTCATTAGTTGCAGGATATATCCCGCTACAAGCCCCTCCATGCCGATTCGATTCAGATTCGATAATTGTCTCCCGGTCACTGAAAATATCCTTGCGGTACCTCCTTCCGGAACATAACTCAGCTTCGTCATCGCTACATTTTGCTTTTCCAGAACTCTCTTCTGGAAGATCATCATGCGACTGTAATTCGTACGACTCGGATTGCATGTTGCGTCTTTTTCTTTTATTCTCGATGACAGTGGAGTATGGCAATGACTTCTTTCCACTCTTGTCAGCAGATCCGGTGATACGTGAAGAAATGAAGCTTCGCAGATATCGGACAAAGAAGGGCTTCAGCCCAGGGACCGAGGCGCACACGACGCCGGCATTCGCCTCGAGGAAGGACCAGTTGAATTGTTCGGCTGTATCCCAGCTGTAATCAGCGCTTTTCAGCAGTGGTGGAAGGATGATCGTCCGTTTGATCGCCGATGCACAGACACTACGAGTAGTTAGGACCGGCAATACTTTGACAGAATAAGATAGAGATAGAAAAAGGAGGTAAAGGCTCTCACAACGTCTCAGTGGCGAACATAAGAATGACAGAAACCTTCTGTCTTCGAGCCATCTGAAGTGGAATGACAATCTTCAGCGGAAGCAGAAGTATGACGACGTCCATAATGATGTTTGCGATACTGAGGGTCATATAAATAGTCTCTTTGTCGACGCAGTGAGCAGTCTATAGTGCCTCTGCGTCACATGATGCGTAGATTGGACGACAACCGAAGATGCTCAGCAGTTGATAGGCCACAGAATAAGCGATGACAATTCCGATGAGACTTGTGACGATTATTCGAAAGCTTCGATCGGGAGACAACCGCAGGTAGAGGAACAAGAAGGAGAGTTTCGCCAGTACAACACTGAGAGAATACTTCACGGTGGTACATGTGCCGTACTAGTATCAATTCGAGTCAGCTTTCCGAAGCATGCCTTGCGTAGATATCCACTCAGTAGCTCGTATCTGACTCAAAATAATGATTAGTGGGCAATAGTTAACTTACAATGAGAAACCCGGTGTTATAATCTGCGTAAGTCACCTGCCAGAAATGCGATACAACGCCTAGATCGATCACTAAGTCGGTGAGAAATAGGTCAGGCAGAATAGTAAGGTAGGAATGAATGCGAACTTACTTTCCATTCCTGTAGCCAAGAAGGCAAGGCTCATGACCATTGAAGTGGTAATCAAGTCTGTTTTCCAAGTGTTAGTAGTTCTCTCAGATCATCATGTCTCTTCATAGAACTATTGAGAATCAGTTGGCTTACAATCATCAACGCCTAGGCTCCGTTTTGCAACATGTAGTCTCGTAAATATTCGAAGAAAAACAGCCGATAAGGAAATGACAGTTGTCGAGACCCCTGCAGCTATCATACCGATGCCCACGGTCTTAGCTGCAAATCTAGCCTCGCCGATGGGTGGTTCGGCCATGTAGACGACATCTGCGGCGGTCGCCATGGCGGAAATTTCGAAATGCTGACGCTCTCAGGAACGGTGTTCGAGAGATGATGAACGCAAAAGACCAGCTCGTGCAAGCTGCATTGATATACTGGGTTCCTGAAACTTTTGAAGGATGTCATGTGCGGAACAATCCCAAAGAGTTGTTGGTTCTAACATCTGAGATTGATCAGACGTTGAGCCATGTCTTCGTGGTTATCACACTTGGCAATGGGCATCCTTTTTCCAACCACAACTCTCCTCGGGAATGCTTCCTAACGGAGGCTCTCATATTCATCAAAGATGTTATGGATCACTTCGTTGGTTCACGTGCAAGGATATAGCCCACTGCATATGCATGTTTGGCATGCCAGGGGGAGTCTCCAGGAAACAAATCTTTTCGCTGGCGAAGGATTTCAGCCAAGAATATTCTTCGATTTCCCCCAACAACCGAGTCCTTGGGCCACTCAGATCATTTGTGTTTCGGGACGTTTTCTCTATGCGGGCCGCTAAGCATGTAAAATATGTGTTCAATCCCAAGTTATCGATGAGTGGCGAACCCGACTTCGCAGTCTGATGTCGATGTACGAAGACAGGTAATCTTAACATCCGAACATAGGCTTATGTCTATGTGTACTTAATCTATGGACCAACGTCTGTAAGATCACTTCTGAAAGACGAACATCCTCGGCGTGAAGTACACTGGTAGCATCCGGTGCGCAAAGTGCGGGTAACACTAGGATCTCGAGCCCACTTGGTGTTTTGTTATCTCGCTTGAACGAATCCTACATTGAACATCAGGGCGAAGTGCTTGGATTCCTCAATATCTAGCTGTGCTGGTATTGCTAACGGTGACGCTCGTCTATAAATCACATATGATCTCTCATTCGTGCACCAAAGTTCGGCCGCAAAATGAGATCTTGGCTCATCGGAGGCGGCCCGCAGGCCGATACGTGGAGCCAAGGCACTAGAAATTCGGATCCCAGCCGTGGAGACGATGGCTTCCCTTCGAAGCCACAAGATGCTTGTCATATGTGGATATGATACGATCCAATGTGACAAGCTGGGGTTGAAGGACTTATTGGAACCGGGGTTCTCAGTTCACAACCAACGCCGGTTTCGTCTTGAGAAAGTACACATAGGATTGTCGATCCTATGTCTACGTTTGCTTGCTCCTGAAAACACGAAATCTCCTTCTTCCTTATCTAGAAGGTTTCTCCAGTATCCGGGTCTAGCTGATTTCTGTCTCACCTACCATACTCTCTTTGGCGTATTGCGAACTTCTACATGAAACCATCTCACAATGTCTCAGATGCAAAGTGAGAAAGAGAAGCATCCAGAACTTTTCAAGCCGGATTTGAACATTGACAGGCGGCAATGCGAGCGTGTCGTACCTCTTGAAGTCTTGGCTTTGGGGATGTCCAAGACGGGCACGTCGTGTAAGTAACTTCTAAGCATGTTCAGGCCTTTGGGTTCTTCAATCATTCTAACGTGATGCAGCTATGCAACGAGCACTAATAATCCTCGGCTACAACGATGTCTATTATGGATTTACCATGGTCTCAAACATTTGCGAAGTCGAAATGTGGATGGAGGGCATGCACGCGAAGCAGAACCCCAAGTCAGGCCAGCAACCGTTCGGTCGCACAGAATTTGACCAGCTCCTTGGTCACTGCGGAGCCGTTTGCGATATGCCAGCTAACTTCTTCGGTCCCGAGCTGGTGGCGGCATACCCTGATTCCAAAGTGGTCCTTGTCGGGCGCGACATTGAATCCTGGTACAAGAGCTTCGACGAGAGTATCGTCACCGTCGCCTTCAACCCTGTCTGGCGATTTTTATCGTGGCTGCGAGCCAAGTATGTGGCTGAGATTGACGACATCACTTTCACGTGGTTGAAGTACACCTTTGGTGCAGAGACAAGGAAAGAAGTCCCAGAGAAGGCTCGCGATGGGTATCGAAACCACTACGCGACTATTCGAAGAGAGACACCCCCTGATCGGTTGCTCAACTTGCACTTAAAAGATGGATGGGAACCATTGTGCGCCTTCTTGGGAAAGCCTATTCCTGATGTTCCGTTCCCCCATGTCAATGCTCATGAGGCATACCACGAGAAGCTTCAGATAATCATCAGGAAAGGGGCGGTTGCATTCGCAAGGAAGGCGTTATGGGTTGTGGTTCCTGGGCTGATAGGTGTAGCGGCGTATTATCTCGGGTCGAGGGAGGGGTTGCTAGCAAGCATCGCAGGAATCAGCAAGTGAACAGTAGGTAATACAAGTAAACTCCAAACCTTCAAATGATTCTGGTGAAGATTATAGAGTCCTTTAGCTTTGCCTGCCGATATTCGATGTATGATTGTTGCGGCCTGCCTAGTGGGTCTTCATGGGGTCACTCAAGTGAGAGGCTTGTATCATTCTCAAAATGAAAAAAGAACTGACGGGACAGCAGAATACGAAGAAAGCTGATTGGAATTTTCGAGTCAAACATTGAATTACCAACAGAGAAATATGGTGAGACTGCTTTGAGGCCTTGACTGAAATTTCTCCTCCTGCCTCCTGTGATGCTGCAGCCTGCAACGCTGAAGCAGAGATACACAATGAAGTCTAACATCAGTAAAGCACTCTCAAATGCCAAACGTGATGGCCCGTAATTAATATTTCAGTTCAAGCTGGCGTTCGCGGAAATAGTCTTTTAGTATCTTGGCTGACTTGCCTTGATCTGCCGGCAGTTCGCTGTTGCCTTCGACGTCTTCAGTGATTTTTACCCACTTCTTGCCGTCAAGAACGGCAGGACGATCGTTCTTTCTCGTTCACATTAGAATTTTCAACCACTCATATGAGTTTTTCATTTGCCTCTACTTAAGTTTCGCTCACTTTCTTTCTCATCCTGGCTCTCACTCTGTCTGCCACACCGCTCTCAATTTCATTCCCATTCTTGTACCTGCCCTTGACTTCTCCCGCCTCCTCACTACCTTCCAACATCTGCAACCCATCTGCCACAGGTCCTCCCATAAAAAGGATCTTCACTCTCCCGCTTGTCTGCAGATTTCATTCTCATACATTTATCTCATTCCTCTGCTTCCAGAATTCATACTTCTACCCACCCACTCCTCCTCCGTCACACTTCGGCACACCACAGCTTTCACACTCTTGCATATTTACTTGCAAGTTCTCGCCTCTCGTCACAAATCATTCAACCCTCATCACACTCTCATCAATACCAACTCATCATGTCTTCCGCCGGCTCTTCCTCCGAGGCTGCTACTGCCCCTAAGTCCGCCCTTACCGAACGCGAGCTCGAGATCCTCAAGCACGCTTGGAGCTCCTTGAAGAGCGCTCCCGAGGTAAGATCTACCCTCACTTTAAAATCTTCGCTATCTACCTCACGCATTGGACAGCGCTAATAACATTTCTATCTTCCAGGTTGACTACGCCAAGCTCGCTGCGGCCTGCGGCATGACCAACCCGCGCTCCGCCTCCAACGCCTGGAGCGGCATCAAGAAGAAACTCTTCTCCGATCTCCCCGCCCAGTCCAGCGACAGCGCCGGCAGCAGCCCCGCCAAGCGCAAGACTGCCACTCCGTCCAAGAGAAAGGCCGCTACCGCCGCCGCTGCTACCACTAGCTCTGACGACGCCGACGAGCTCGCCGCTGCCGGTGGCGCCAACCTGAACTCGGACGGCGAGGAGAAGCTCGTCGTCGAGACGCCCGCCAAGAAGAAGCGCGCCACCCCGGCCAAGAAGAAGGCCGCTGCTACTCCCAAGGCCGCCGCCAAGACTACCGAGAGCGACGAGAACGCTGACGAGGAGGCCGAGCCCGAGACGCCCGTCAAGAAGAAGGTTCCCGCCGCCAAGCGCAAGACCCCTGCCAATACCAAGAAGGCTGCTGTTGCTGCTGCTGCTCCCGAGAAGGCGGCTTCCGAGAACGAGGAGGCTGCTGATGGCAAGGACGCTCCTGCCGCTGATGTCGCCAAGCTTGAGGTCAAGGATGAGGCTGCCAATGGCGACGTCGAGATGTCGGGCGCCGCGAACACTGGCGAGATCTAAAGGATCTTACGGCTATTTCCTTGCCCGGTTGCGGTATCTTGCTCTTCACTTTCGACCCCTTACGATTCTTTTCTACTGGCATTTGGGGTTCCTTCTGGTAATCACAGTTTGGAGGCCTTTTTGTAGCTCAGGCTGGCGTTTAGGATGATGCGGAGGTAATAGGAATTGGCATCGGTTAGGTCTAGACCATGGTTTGGTTGAGACGACCAGGTCTCGTGATACCCTCATAGGTTTTCGGATAGCTTGATACACCTGAAGACACAGATCAGTAGTTACATCAAGCATCATGGCACATGCTTTACCCTTGAATTGTTGCACTCGTGATATTGTTCCACCTGCGGTATTATCTCGTAAGCCCTGATGATGCCCATGGTGTGGGCGAGGACCTGGGCATATAGAAAAACACAGCTTGCGACCGCGCTGCTTCATCTACCAAAATCATGTAGCTTTCTGACTCGCGTGACTCCTCAATTGTGTGATGCTTGAAGCCGGAGCTTGACCTGGCGCTTGCATCGTCCCGTCCGCCCTGTGCCAAAGGGATACCAAAGGGATGAGCCACCATCCCTTCACGAACGTTGCGACCGGCATATGAGCCTCAGACAAACCAACGCCTTGCAGAAACTTTTCAACAGTCGTCAATCATAATCTCCGACATCAAGAAAAGAGGAAAGAAAAAGAGGCCAAAGCAAACATGTCTCGTCTCGCCCTCATCGCGACCATCATCTCCACCCTCACCAGCGCCGCCTTCGCCGTAGTATGCACCCAAGCCGAAACCTACTGCGGCTCCCGCCTCCTCAAACTCGGTTGGTATCCCGTCATCAAATCTTCTGATCTCTATGATTAGAATCATTCAAGAAGCCTCTATTCTAACTTCAAGCTTAGATACAAACAACCGTAAGGCGATTGAGGGCGCCCTGACATCGGGCAGGCAGTCCATCGACGACACGCACGTCAATCAGTCCGTCTTCTGGTGCGCGCCGGCAGGCGTCCCCGTGCCGGGCGACTCGGGTCTCCTCTTTGTGACTTACTGCGGCCCCGAGAACGTCTGCCAGGAAGGCGGAGCGCTCGGGGGCGTTGGGGATGCTTGCGCGGCGTCTACGGGTGGTGGGCTTAACCATCGGCGCCATCACCATCGCCATTGAACACTTGGGATTTGTTCCTTGACGCGTGACGAGGCAAAGATGAATGTTTCATGTCAACTACAAGCGGGGTGATAAGGAATGTGTTTGAGGGAGAAACTATATGGCTCGGATTTTGTCTATTCACTCTTTGAAAAGGGTAGAAGAACATGGGAAATTATGACAGGCATGGTACATACTCGTGTCACCGCGATCTGTATCCTCTATGAACATACTCGCATCTTCATCTATTCCTTGATATACTTCTTCAACCCACGAAGACGCTCCTTGGCCGTCTCGAGCACCTCGTCCTCCTTGCAGACCGCGAAACGGATGTAATCCGCCGCAATGTGCGCGTTCTCATCCGTGTAGAACTCGGTGGGTGGGATGGCGGCGACGCCCACCTCCTGGATGAGGAACCACGCGAGCTTGAAGTCGCGCGGACGGCTGGCGACGTGGGGCGGGAACGGGTAGTCCTCGGGCAGCTTAACCTTGGCCATGTTGACGAGGACGAAGTAGCCGCCCTCGGGCTCCGAGTAGGGCATGCCGAGCTCCTTCCACACCTCGTTGAAGCGGTCCATCTTGCCCTTCATGTCCTTGATCGTCTCGTCCCAGAAACCTTCCTTCTCGGCTTGCTCGAAACCTGTCGGACGCGGGGTTAGTCACAATGAGATCCAAGGTTGCTAGGGAAAAGCAATAGGTAGAGAGAGAGGGGGCAACATACCGACAGCGCACGCTTCTTGCAGAGGCGAGACGGATGAGTAGCAGATACGAGTATGCGCCGCAGAAACATGCTGGATAAGTTCGGCAGGACCCATAAGCCAGCCCACGCGCCATCCGGTAGCGTAGAAGTTCTTGCCCGCGGAACCGACGGTGATGGTGAGGCGCTCGACCTCGGGGGAGAGCGTGGCTATTCTCGTGAAGGGGACATAGTATAGGCGGTCGTAGACCTCGTCGGAGAGAATGATAATCTCGTTCTTGACGCAAAGGTCGCCGATCTTCTGGAGCTCGTCCTTGGAGAAGACCTTGCCGACGGGGTTGTCTGTGTCAACATGTCAGCAAAACACGCCCTGTATTTGGAGCTGCAAGGGAAGTGGCGACGAACGTGGTGTGTTGAGGACAATCATCTTGGTCTTTGGTGTGATGGCGCGCTCGAGCTCGTCAAAGTCGATAGTCCAGTTGGCGGCGGATGATGTCGCCGTGGCGCCGTCTGTGGGAGGATGCAGGGGAACGTAGGTGATCTTGCCGCCGGGCATCTCAATGTTGCTGATGTACCTTTCCAAGGAGTCAGCATGCCTGGGACGTATCATGAACAGCACTCGCGGTCTGGCTTACTGGTCGAAGAAGGGCTCAAAGACAATGACCTCATCACCGGGCTCAATAAAGGCCATGAAAGCACTCAGCATGCCTAGTCACCAGTCAGTCCATACTCTAAGATCATCTCACTCCTCTCCAGGCCTTCTCATCTCACCCTCGTTTGCGCCAGTAGTGATGGTGACCTCGGTCTCGGGGTCCAGCTTGCGGCCCCAGTGAGGAGAGTAGGCGTCCGCAATGGCCTTCTTGAGTCTTGGGCGACCCTTGGTAGGGCTGTACTGGTTGCACTCGACGCGATCCAGCGCTTGCTTGGCGGCGTTGAGAATGAAGTCGGGAGGGTTGTAGCCAAAGAACCCCTGTCCCATGTTCACGATGGGCTGCTTGGGTGAAGCGGCAGCGGCCTCGTTGATGATGGACCTAGTCTCACGGTGAGCATCTTGCACTCAATTACTCATCATCGACCAACAGAGATTTGTCAGAAGTAGCGCTGGCGCATACTTTTCTGTCTCACGACGGCCGGGATCTCAATACACACCAGACATCCTGTCGCCGGCCGGCGACGCGGGCCGCGGGCTTGAGCTTGCTGCTGAGAGACATTGCGGTGGACTGGAAACCTCGTCTGGCGGTGCTGGTGCTGATGATGCGCGACCGGAAGAGAGGGAGGACGAGGGAGGTCATGAAGAGGGCAATGGGATGAGAAGAGGAGTCGGAGCGGCACGGCGAAGAGGGTTGTGAGTCGGCCTCCTCGATTAACCTATCCGTAGTACTCCAGAACGAAGCTCCGAAAATTGGAAGACGCTGATTTGCTTCACGGCAGCTCGAGACCCATTTCCCGTCTGGAGCGTTTGAATGGCGTAATCGGCCGTCCCGATGTTCGGTGCTGCAGTCCACGCCCTGTGGCGGGGTGAGCCGGCCCAATGCGCTTTTTGGCGGGGTAAATGTTTCTTATGTAATCTGACTGAGCCGAGCCGGGGATTCTCCGGTGCAGTTGGAGTTTTACCCCGCGATCCTTGGTCACTCAATTACCCCCAACTCCTTCATTGTCGTAGCAGGAAACCCACAGACTCCAATAATACATTGAGTTTACGAGAGACTTTAGGCAACGCAATTCAACATCTTTCGGCTGGATGGCAATGGGGCTCTCCTGACTGAGATCACTCGTGCTTTGTTGTACGAAAACTCGAATCCGTCGCGGAATGCTTCCCGCTGATGGCAACATACCTGAGGCAGGGTACATTGCTACAAGATATTCGGGCCCTGGATCCGAACTTCTGATGTCAGCCTCCTACCGCAGCTGCAGATACCATAGCATTGGATGGTTTACAACTCAGAAGCCCCTTTTGGTGCTGTATTCCTAAATTTAAATGCCTTCACTGGACATGTTGGCTTGCATGGATCAGTCATGACACGAGGCTAGTACTTGAGCTGATACTAGTTCGGGAGCCAGGTGCCTCGAAACCCTCTAGAACTGGCGGTTTTATCAATTCAAAGCCGTACCAACGTATCGGAGATCATGAAATCCCACTGAAAAATGAGTTTAAGACAGGAATGGCGGTGTAATACAAGAGTTTAGTCGTGCTTGAATAACAGCTGACGCCAGCATCAACAAAATCCTCTTCGTGGTCGGCTTGTATAACACCATGTGTGGCTACGTGCTCTTCAGTCCGTCCGAATCAGATGTCTTACAAGGCGCCGTTTGACACAATGCTGTCTATTTTTGCAGCGCTAATGTCGCTTTGCTGCCTCCACGGTCCATCTATCTCCCTCGCCGGCATCTTCATGACTATAAGCAGACGACGCTGGCTCCTCCCCCTACCTACTCAACTCCCTATGCATATACTCTTAATCACACTTGTAACCTCGTAATTCTTTTCATACTACCTAAACCCTTGCACTACCAAAGACTCACGATGCACTTCCCCATTCTTGCCTCGATCACCTCCCTCGCCACTTCCGTCATTGCCAACCCGGTGGATCTCGAAGTCAGAGACAACTGGGCCAAGGTCGTCTCCTTCAGTGACAATCTTTGCAACTCAGACCAAAGCACTTTCGAGGTGACCGGCAGCGGTGCGTACCGATGCATATCTGTCAACAATAAGCCATCCATTTCACCAATAAGCGATCCATCAAAGTTCTTCAGAAGAGGTATGTCTGTTGATCGCTCCCAACTCAGAAGAAATCTAATCTCCTGCAGGGACTGTACGATAAAGACGTTCAGCGGGTCAAACCGCGGTGGCAGCCACTTTAATCTTCCCGATGGCGACCTTGACTGCCATTCCGTCTTGCATGTGTCTGTTGAGATCTCGTGTTGAAGTCTGGGGAAAGAATTTGCTGAGTGATGAGAGTTTGATATTTCACGGAATGTGAAGATAGTAATGAGATATCTAAGGCTAAGGATAAAAAAGAGAGGAAAAAGACAAAAGAAAGGGTGACCACCCCGAATCGAAATGCTGTCGCATGAAAACCTCATGAGACTTCACTGATACTCTATCGATCAAGCATTTCGATTGGCGGTCCGTGGCATGTGAGGTACTGTTGGTCCCTATAGCACCTTCGTGCGTTGAGGATGAGTGAGCCCCCTTGCGGCCGCCTTCGACCTTTGCGGCCGACCTCTATGGTCAACCTTTCTGGCTAGCGCTGCGTGTGACTAACGACGATCCTGTACTGTATCATGCTGTTTGAATCTTAATCGTTCTTTGAAGTTGAGCACATACGATAAGTAACGCTTGTTTGGATATAGGTTATAACATGGCTAAGTATGAACCGTATCCCTGACCTAATGACCTTACATTTGAGTGACTGCCAGAGAGCTGGTCTGCTGACCAGTCGACCTCTCTCACGACCATACCAGAGGAAGAGGATGAAGCAGGAGGAACAAATGAATAAGATGGCGGAAAAATGAATGACGGGTCCTTTGAAAAACTTCATGATATGCATCGTATCTCCGCTTGGAGTACAAAGGTAATGTCAAGACTTCAAGATCAATCCTTCCAAGTCAGAGTTTCTTCGCACAACTTGTCTTTCGGTATTGTCATTCCCGTGGTAAAACGTTGAGCAAATTCAGTAACCGTATTGAATCCTTGCGCCTTATGACTTTCTCGACGCCAAGATGATTTGCGAAATTTCTAGACAGCTACGAACTGAAGTGCAGAGTTCGTGTACTCATGTCTATCTGCCTACGTAACATCCGAGGTACTCGTAGCGTTGATTGATAGTAATTTGCTTGTAAGTCAAGGATTCGGCCTCCACTCAAGCTGCCGTATTCCGACTACGCAAAGCAACCCAGCTCTAATTGGTCAATCGTCCAACTGAGACTAACAAGCTGGGCGGAAAGAGGCACATTCGTCCCGTGCCAGCTAAGCTTTTTGGAGCATTAGCGCGGCAGGCTACATCCCCCAATCTCCCAGCTCTGGAACGTCCTTCCACTTTGTACACGAATAGCAGGGCCCAAAAAAAGTTGCACCTTCCACACACACACCTCAGCCGTCCACACTCACCCACCTTCCGAACCAAACAAGCAAGGAAGCTGCATGGCACTTTCCCCCTGTTGCGACTTGCGTGTCTGAGAATCGCCCATTCCAGGCAGTTTCTTCAGGCATTTCTTTCCTTCCAGCAAGAGAAACGCAACGCGGCTGAAGGAACGTACCCTCCCATTCGTCACACACGCGCGGCACAGGTGTCGCCTCACACAACCATGATCCCCAACTTAATCTCATCGACTCCCGTCTGCCCTGCGGCGCAGCAGCTTCCCTCTCCCTCCCTCACAATGCCGTCGTCGTATTCCACGAGCCTTACATTCGCCGAGCTCGACTGCATTCCTGTCCTCCTTACGCCTGCGATGCGCTGATTCACAGCTCTCTGAATCTGAAGATGATCGCTATCAATTCCCGTTTGCGAACGATACTCCCCCTAGCTGCTCTCTTCGCCCTAATCCTCGTTCTTGTTCGATTCCATGAAAGCATTATAAATCTCGATTCACTGTATAACCTCGCGAAGCACACGAAGACACCGCCGCCATCTTCGAGTGGCAAGGACAACAAGCAGTCGCTCTCCTCCGAGACCCCAGTATACAAGCCGGCACCGACCTACACCTCGCCCCCGGTAATCGATCCCTTCCCCCTCCTCGCCAACACCGACTCGCCGCCCCCCTCGGTCCCTGCGCATAACGTCCCCCGCGACGACATACACAAAGACTACGGTCTCGACGCGCAACCGCCGCTCTTCATCGGCTTCACCCGCCAGTGGCCCATCCTTCTGCAATGCGTTGTTAGCTACATCACAGCAGGCTGGCCGCCCTCCAGCATCCATGTCCTCGAGAACACGGGTGTCCAGTTCGCCAACGCCCAGGGCAAGCTCTCCCTTCAGAACCAGTTCTACCTGAACCATACGACGCTCAAACGGCTAGGAGTCAACGTCATCCAAGCGCCCGCCCTGCTCTCCTTCTCGCAGATGCAGAACATGTTCCTGCACGAGGCGCACAAGAACAACTGGCCATACTACTTTTACTCTCACCAGGACGTTCTCGTCTTCTCTTTTGAGGACGGCAAGGACGACACTCACCGCCCCGGCGACCGAACATGGGAATTCTACGATGAGGAGGAGCAAAATGAGATCATGAACCCGCCCGCGGCAGGACAGCAGGGTTACCGCACCATATACGAGAACTGCCTGCGCGATCTTGATACCACGCTGAGACGTAAAGAGAAATGGGGGTTCCGGTGGTACCAATATGACCACTTGACCCTGGTGAACCGTGCCGCGATGGACGCCATTGGCGGTTGGGACTCGCTGATCCCGTACTACGCGACCGACTGCGACATGAACGCGCGCCTGGCCATGGACGGCTGGACGATGAAACACCGTCGGGCGGGTATCATCAATGATATCTCGACGCACCTCGAGGATCTTTCTGTCTTGTACCGGATTCCGGGGACGGTCCCGAAAATGGTCGACCCAAATCCCCCACCCCCGCCTCCGCCCCCGCCGCCGGCCGAGAAGAAGCCCGAGAACGAGAAGATACAGGGCGACAAGCGAGACGACGAGACCGCGGCGAATGCTACCCTCGTAGACGACAAGGCAGAGTCATTCCGCGCCGTGGTCCAGACGGGCCTGGAAATGACAAACTACAAGTACAGAGACAGCGACCACAACCGCAACTCGTGGCAGAAAAGCCAGCACGGCGGCGAGGGCGAACCGTATTACTACGACGCCGCTGGGTTCGCAGAGGCCTTTGAGGTGCTCGTCGCTGCCGGGCGCCGGGTCTTTGAGCTGAAGTGGGGGCGCGGCGGGTGCGATATCGCCGAGGGGTTCGGGTTGAAGATTACGGACCAGTGGCGCGTATTGCCTCCGGAGAAGAAGGATAGATGAGGATGGGGGTGTCTGTGGTTGAATGGGCATTTTTTTGCGCGAGTCACGGCGATGACGTCGTTTTTTTGGGGGATGCGATGTCACTCGTTGGTTTCATGGAGTCGATAATGGCTCATCACACCACGGACCTGAGTCAGGGTCCAAAGAGCTGGGAAGGAAGTCTGGCGACACAACGTGAATATATTGGAAGGCGTAATAGATTTAGACAAGCACCTGTGAAACACCAAATCATCGGTTCCCAATAAGGCAAATGAAAGCAATCAGCATGTAATGATATCTTGATATTCAATGGCCAAAGCCATCTATGCGGATAATTTGTGTAAACGCACTGCAAAGTCCCAGCTCCCGTGACCGGAGAGAGAAACTCTTCTGGCGTTTGATGCCATATGCTACTAATAAACTAAGTAAAAAAGGAAAATGAAAAAACCCAGAAAAGAAGGTTGGATGGAAACACAGATGAGAAGAATCGTACACACAGTCGGTGCTGCTCTCAAAATGCCCAATCCCTCCTTTGCCCCCAAAAGTACGCCAATATCCCCGTTCTATCTAGGTATCCCAGGGTTTTCGTTTCGGAAATCCAAGTAAAAAAAAGGATTTCAATCACAACACACGCAACGGAGCTTAGCTATCCATCGGCTCCGGTTGGGTTTCAACTTTTTCTTCGGGCCAAAATGCTCTCGCTCTCACTCCTCTTCGTCTCCTTTACACACGTATCGTCAAAAAAGCACAGAGGGAAATAGTAAGGCAAGAGGAACAGTCATCCTTGATGACAAGGGGCCTGCTCTATGCCTCGGTAATATTTCTCGCCAGGGCACCACCAGCCTGGATCTCGTTGGGCGCAAACTTGATCCCGCTAGCCGAGGCCGCGATCTGCGACTTGGGTGCGTACGCCGAGGTGGCGGTGCCGCTGCGGAGAACCTCGTCACGGGTGACGCCGAACTTCTCGGGGGACAGGCCCATGGAGCGGAGGAAGTGCACCGTCTCGGTCCACTCCTGATCCTTGCGCTTGGCGTCCCAGCCGAGCTCCTCGGCCATGACGTCGATCACGCGCGGCAGGGCGCGGAGGGCGGACTCAGCGTCGAGGAAGGCGAGGCGGGTACGGCGGGAGATGAGGTCCGTTGCCGTGAGGGCGGCCTCGGCGCGGACGCCGTGGCGGATCTCGCCCTCGACGAAGGGGAAGTTGGGGATGATGCGCTGGCGGTCGGCGGGGGTGGTGGCGACGGACCAGGCGCGGTCGCCGTAGTTGTGGGCGAGGTGGTGGGCGACGTCGGCGTCGAGGGCGAAGTGGGTGATGAGGTGGCCGGGGAGGTGCTTCGAGAAGCCGTGGGCGCCGACGAGGGGGATCTTGGTGGTGATGCAGGCGCCGGTCGTGGTGAAGGGTGCGAGGCCTGCGCCGGAGATGTCGGGGAGGGAGACGGGCTTGGGGACGAGGTTGAAGGTCTTGATGGCTTCGTCGACGGCGTCTTCGGCCATTTGGCGGTAGGTTGTCCACTTGCCGCCGGCGCAGGTGAGGAGGCCGGAGGAGGAGACGGTGACGAGGTGGGAGCGGACGAGGGATTCGGTGTTCTTTGCGTTTGGGTCCTTGACCAGGGGGCGGATTCCTTGCATGAGATGTTAGTTTCTTGGTCCTGGCCTGAGAGCGATATCGGAGGGAGGGGGAGGGAATGAGAGGAAAGCTTACCAGACCAGGCAGAGAGAACATCGGCACGGGACAGGGCGGACTCGGGGGTAATCAGCTTGTTGACCTCCTTGAGAATGAACTTGATGTCGTCCTCGCGGGCAATGGGCTCGCGCTCGACGGGGGCAGCGTTATCCGTGGTTCCAGCCAGAGTGTATCCTTGCCAGGGCAGAACAAAAATGACACGACCGTCCGAGGTAGCAGCATCCAATAGACCGATTCCGTTGGGGCAGATGTCGCCAGGCAGCATAATGTGCGCACCAGAGGCAGGGGCGACGATGGGCTTGCGGTCCGGGTTGTCCATGCACTCGATTGCGTCGGCAAAAGGGCCGGTGGCGTTGATGACGCCCTTTGCGCGGACGGTGAAGGGGGCGCTGCCGGGGTTCTTGACGTCGCGGACTTGGGCGCCCGTGATCTTGCCGGTGGAGGAGTTCTTTTCCAGAGAGGTGACTTCGACATGGTTGAGGACGGTGGCGCCGTAGAAGGCGGCGGTGAGGGCGAGAGAGACGTTCATGCGGGAGTCGTTGTGCTGGCCGTCATAGTAGACGAGGGCACCGACCATGTTATCCTTTCTGAGCTTGGGGAAGGCCTCCATGGCCTTCTTGGTGGAGACGTAGTAGGAGCTCTCGAGACCCTGGGAACCGGCGAGGAGATCGTAGGCCTTTGTGCCGGCCCAGAAGTAAGGAGTCTGCCACCACTTCTGGATGGGCAGGAGAATAGGCAGGGAAGAGGACAGGTGCGGGGCGACGTTGAGGAAGGTCTTCCGCTCGTGAAGGGCCTCCATGACGAGCTCGAGCTGGGAGTAGTCGAGGTTCCAGACGGCCTTTTCGAGGTAGCGGACACCGCCGTGAACGAGCTTGGTGCTCTTGGACGAGGTTCCAGCAGAGAAGTCGTCGCGCTCGACGAGGGCGACCTTGAGGCCGCGGGTGACGGCGTCGAGAGCGATGCCGGTTCCCGTGGCGCCGCCGCCGATGACAAGGAGGTCGTATTCTTGGGCATCGGAGTTGTGAGCGCGCAGGTCGGCCAGCTGTGAGGCGCGGTCCTTTGCCGCGGGGAATGAAGGCGGGACGATCTTGCCCTGGTCATCGCGCTTGAGCTCGACGAGGGCCTTGTCGAAGTTGTGAGCGCCGCGGCCACTGAGGAAGGTTGAGTAGGCGACGACACCACCAGTTGCCGCGGCGGCAGCGATGGCGACGGGCCTTCTCAGGCTTGAGAAACGAGACGCCATGCTGGCGGGCGTTTCTTGTGTGTGTTTTCTTGTGATCTCTTCACCCGGTGAGGTTTAGACCGAGTCCGAGAAGGACGGGACGATGACGGTGGAAGGCGCGTCTGGTATAGGTGACCAGTCCGGGCGTGTAGGGTGTGGGATGCCCTTTTGGTGAATGCTTTCCCTCAATGGTGATGTGTTAGGAGGGGGAGGGGTTCACAGGTTGATGATCCTGGGAAGAATCAGGAAGGTGAAGGTAGGGGAAAAGAAGTAAGAATAAGAGAGGTAGGAAGAGGAAGAAAAGGCTCAAGGGCTTAAGAGGGACCGAAGGGGTTGAGGATTGTCGATCGGTAGATGACCCAAGTGAGTGGGTAGATTCCGGGTGGCAGAAAAGCAGGAAGCTGTGCTTGTCCGGGCTGGGCCGCCTCACCCGCGAAGTATGGACTGTTATTCGTGGAATGACACCCCGAGCTCGAGAAGGAATGGTCCCGTTTGGCGCGAGCAAAAATCTTCCGTTGGACTGACTGGGCAGGGCGGAAGGGCAGGGGATGTGGGTATCAGAGATGGGAGAGAGGGCGACCTGATGTGAGGAAAATAAAAAAACAATAACGAAACTTGAGCCCGGCAGAAAGAGGCTAAAAGTAGATCGGGGGTGGAGGGGGGTACGAAGATACCTTGTGATGACGGAGATCGGGGGATGGATGGACGGACGGGGGGTCAGACGGAGAGAGAGACATGCAGCTTTGGCCGGTAGCGATGGATGGAACACACGGACAAAGCGATGAGGATGCCAGCTCAGACACAGCTCTTGCTTGGTGTTCGCAAGGTATCGCTCGCCATTGCCAATTGGACCTTGACCCCCACGTGGTCGCAGGCGCGTCTGCGGTATGGCAGCATGGCTCATCTTGAGACTTTTTTTGCTGATACCTTGTCTGTCCTGACCACCATGCCTGCGTTTGCTACTTTGTGCTACCTTAGCCTGGCTATGCCACACCACTGCATGCTATCATCTATCGCAGCTTCATCAGCCATGTAGCTACACAGTAGGTACGTTGTGGTGAATGGTGGCAATGGCAGTGGTGAAGGGCAGTGGTGAAGGGCAAACGGTCTCCGGAAGCAGCAGCAGCAATGCACTCGAGTCGGGGTCTGACATCATGGGTACCGAGCTCACTCCGAGCTAGCAATTAACAAGCAGCAACAGCACCCCAACACTAGCTGAGTGACTGAGCAGAGTCAGGACATACAGTGAACCGGAGTGAGTGAAAGACGGGAAGAGACCCGCTTCTCGTTCGTCATGTCGGTAACGGCGCAGGATCCAGTATGGAGAAATGAATGGGGAAAAGGCACGCAAATCTGGAGGTGGGAAAGAGTCGTCGGTGCCATCCCATCCGTATGCGTAGATGGATCCGTAATTGTATGGTGTTTCCAGTCAGAGCCTCAAATATGCCATCAGGGGTCTGTCTGCACCTCGGTGTTGACTGGCCGAGATGGTGACATATTTTCGGTATTCTCTCGGTGCTGATGATACGTGGAGCATTGTACCCCTGTCTCGGTGGTCTCGGTTGACATCGCCGACCACTGAAGAAGAATTGGAGAAGGTGCGGCCCAGGTTCCCAGAGAAAGGAAGGAAGGGTCCCGCTAAGAACTGGAAAGTGCAGGTGGGGTCACAGATTTGGAGACCTTCCGTCAGCTGGAGGGAAGGCTCCACTGGACCTTGAGGTTCGCCATGATCGGCGGAATCCTCCGGCCGAAAAGTACGTCCTCTTCCACTTTAGCCCCTGCTTCCAGCCCTGACCCTCTTTTCCCGTGCCACACATGCCTTCTCCTCTTTTCGGTTTACCACCACCACCATCAGTCTCCATTTTAGCAGTGCCAGACGGCGACACTGCGGCCTCGACTCTCGCTCGTCCTCGGTGTTGCATTCCCGTCACTCACCACATCCACATCGCAGACCTGGACCACCACCACCGTCCAATACTACTGGGCAGTGCTCCATAGTCCAATCCAATCACGCTCACTGCAGAATCAACAGCAAGGCACAGTCACTCGCCTGCTGGATCTCGAGACACGCATTGCATGCCCTGCGGATGCCTCACTCAGTCACCCAGTCACCCAGTAGTAACAATCACCACTGCCAAACGGCGACTACACGGCGACCACCAATCGGCTCGGCGAATGGCCCGCGACTGATGTCTCCTCGTCGACCCTCCCCAACGTCTCCATCAGTGTCCATCGTGGGATGTTTGCCCACACAGCGCCACGCCATACTGCCGCTAACTACCCTTATCCTTTGCAATCCTCACATGTCGGCCCTTATACAGGGGCCTGATTACTATGGATCTCGCCTCACTTCTCAACTTGAGGCCCGATTGTGAGGCTTGCCCAACAGCCCAAGGGGCATCAACCAGCCAAACAATTTCTTCCAGGGCGGATTTCTGCTTCATCTTAAGAACCAGATGCCGTCCTCTTCTGTCCATCCATAGTACTGCGGACCGTTTTTGGTTCCCGGCCACGGGAGGCTGCATCACACAGACGCCGTGCCATTTTGGTGACCGAATTATCGGGATTCACAGCCAACAAACGCCGTACAGTCGAACCTGTCTTCGTTCCCTATTTTTTTTTACCTACATATCATCGACTACCTAGCCCACCCGCCATGGCATCGCTTACACCCGACACGATATACTGCCACCACTCGCCAAGCTATCCAAGTCAGCAAAACCTGCCTCCAGTCTGCCGACTCTTCCCTCCAGACCCAGCAATTTCCGCAACTCTTTACCATCATCGATCACGCGCAAAACCCCTACGCAGTGCAGCGGCCGACGTCCGAGCTTGACTGACAAGTCACTCTACCTCTGCCATGTACCTCGACCTACTCTTGTATGGGTACTTGGGGAGTGTCCGGACACGAACCCCTCCTGGGATACGACTGCGGTAGGGACACCGTTGTCGCACCCGCACCGCATCCGCACGCCGCAGGGCACACGCCCGCCGTCCACTCCTCCGTGGCCGCTACCAAGTTTCTTCGCTGCACATCCCTCGGCCGTCACGGCCACGCCGCAGTGCCACGCCGAACATTCCGCGCCGCCCCCTGCAACTCGCGTGCGAAAAAGTGGGAGGAAGCAAGTTGAGGTGGCACACGGGTTGAATTGCTGCCAATCCACAACCACTTCGCAACTCGGCTCCCCTACCCACGCAAACGGTCACGATACAGTCAGTTTTCTTGCTGCGCTGCCAGATGATGCGATGGGCCAGCTTTGGTCCGCCAACCTGTCCAAGTGCTGCGTATCAGGTCCCTGTCTACGACAGCCACACAACCCAGCTCGAAATAGTCCTTCACCCCCCCAGTTGACTTACACCCAAACGCAGGTCAATCCATCACCATGTCCTCGTTTGATGACCTTGATTTGCGCCTACATTTTGAAACTCGCAGGTTGCAGCTGCGCCCCACGGCACGTTCGCAGCCAGAGTACCAATCTTAGCACTACGACAAGTATCGCACCCAGAGTTCGTCGACTCGCGCTACCGAACCCTCTAGCCAATCTGAGTAAGATGGACCAGGTCCCAGGGTGCAACTTGACAGCGACGTTTCCTGCACGTCCACTAGCTCTTGGCTGTTTCTACCCCGCGCTTCCAGACGAAGCACCAGCCAGACACAACCTTATCTCACGACGGGCAACGTTCGCCGGGCCACCGAAGAAGGGCCATCGATCGGAGACAGCTGTATTACGAGTCAGCTTCGCTCAGAGTTTGAAGCCATCGGCCTCTCATCGATGAAAGCGCGATCTCCAAGTTACTATACGCAACGGGAACAATACGGGCCATCGTCAGACACACTTACACGCACTGCTCCGCCTCGCATCGCAACCTTGCTACAGCTCTGCAAACGGGAAACTCATGCCGGCGATTGGACATTCGAGCCATCCAGACAAGACAGTCATCCGAGTTCCTCGCCATGCGGCCAATGCTTGACATCACTTCCCGTCGCCACCCCGTCCAATCCGCGCCCTCTCCCGCCTTGACGTGGATGGTAGTTCAGGCGACAACAGACCACTCTCCTCAACTTTGCCCATCTTCAACGTAAGCTAAGCGCACAGTTCTTGCGAATCGCTAGTTGCCACAAGAAACTTGAACAACACACAATGGGCCATCCGAAGTCCTCATAATGCACCCTCTTGGTGGCTGAAAGAGGATTCCATGGCATTGGCGAGCTGGAAGCATGGGCAACGTGATACCTAAGCTCGCACAGTAGGTTGCTGACTACCATCCCTCTGCTGGTCTCCCGTCTCTTGGCCAGGAAGGTGAGCAACAGAGGTCAAGAGTCGGCTACAGATGGAGCGGGTGCAAGATGCCCATGGGGACCACCCATTTCCCCAAGCTGGGGTCGAGACGGAGCATGACCGGGGCTCCAGTCGGTCTTGATACTGCAATTGCTACCTGAGTCCACGAGACTATTGGACTCCAGACATTCCAAAAGAGAATGTGCAACCGCGGACCCAGACATTCGGGATCGCTGTCAGGGTCAATCTCAACCTTTGAGGCCTCTGAGAGGTCAGAGGCGGGGCTACATTCACGATTCACCACACCAAAACCCCAGTCTCCCCAACAAGATGCAAGCCCACGCCATCATGGATTACATGCAAAGTGCGAGCATTTTGTTGGTCTGGATTCTTTTGGACTGGTGGTGGTTCAGCTTTGCTGCACTGGAGATTCGGAAGCGATTCCAGTTCCCAGCGGCGTGGGCAGGTCCCTTCCCGCTAGCCAAGTTGGCGGCGTTAGGCCCCCGTAATTTGGGCCCATGTCTCTGAGCAAAAACCCCCGACTTGACGGAAGAATTGTTCACCTGGCCCGCCCTCGGGGCAATCGTGCCAATCTTCCAGCGAAGGTGGCTTTTTTCTCGTCTCCAAGGGTCTCCTTCACGAACATACTAATTGCTGGCCATGGGCGCACATCGTAGTTGAGAAAGAGGATTGTCTTTGCCTCTTGATGGCACTCTTTTCTCTCGTGTATTGCGTAGTCACCAAGGGGAAACATTCTTTGAACTCTTGAAAATGACTTTGTGATTTGAAGACAAGACACCGCTAATCCAACCCACGCCAATACCCAAGCAGCAGCACCTCAGCACCTAACAGGACAACAAGCAAGGCAAAAAAACAAGAAACAGGAACGACGGAATGCAGCTGCAAACAAGCTCATGATAAACGATTTTTCGCCCGTGTTCGCTTTTTTGGGGTGTTTGGACCGTAAGACAGACCCATCCTTTTTGTGTTTCTTTTTGTTTTTCCCCTTCTGTTTTTCCTCAACTTGAGAAACGCATAACTGCGTTGGATCAAATCAAGAGGTTGTCTTGTTGAAGGCAGGAGGGGACCTTCGAGTCGATCGCTCGCCCGTCTCAGTCTCTCCATCTCTCTCTTCTCTCGTTATCCGAAACCCGTGGTATCATTGTCTGCCAGTTTCTTTGCCTTTCTCACTCTCGCACACTCATAAGAGATCGTCGTGGAGGTCGTCGTCGTTCTCATGAAGATGGACCGAATCCTCACGATAAGATCCCGGTGTCAATCTCATCATCACTCATCAAGATGAAAACAACATCTCTCTCTCACTTTCTCATCATCAAAAACGCACAAATCGGACACTACGTGAAGCGAGGACACTGTCTACACCTTCTCCAAGCGGTTCTTGTAGGTGTTGGACCAGACGTCCCTGCGCGGGCGGAAGAGTCGGGTGAGGCCAAAGTAGGGCGTGTTGATGGGGCTCTCGCCGGTGAAGATGAAGACGTCGTACAGGAAGCCGCCAAAGAGGGTGCCGAAGAAGGGGGCGACCATGGGGATCTATGGAGATGGAATGTTAGTCACGAGACTTCGGGTTAGGATGTGAGGTGAAGGATTCGCCACTCGGAAGGACGACGTCGAGGGCCACAAGACTAGCGCATACAGCGACGACGACGACGAAAAACCCCGAGCCCCATCAGAAGATAGGGGGGAGACCGAGGCAGGCAGGAAAGGAATTTTCTTGCTGCTTACCCAGAAATAGTATCCACCGGCGGACCACACTTCAGACCCGTATCCGAGAATGTACGAAACCAGGCGGGGACCAAAGTCACGAGCCAGGTTGATGGCGTAGCCAGTCTCCCAACCGAAGCAAGCACCGATGCCGAAAATGAGGAAGAAGAGGGCCAAGGGCATAAAGGGGCCCGCAGCTCCGTTGGTGGGATCGGCGAGGGCGAAAATGGAGAACATGAGAATGGTGGAGGCGACGATTTCCGAAAAGAACATGCCCGTCCGCGTCATGAAGGCGGCCGGGTACGTGCAAAAGATGCCGGCGGTCGAGTTGGCGCCGCCGACGGTGCGGATGCCCGGGCCGCCCTCAAAGGCGTCGATGGCACTGATGTAGTTTCCGTACACGATGAAGGCGCCGGCCATGGCGCCCAGGAGCTGGCCCATGAAGTAGACGGGGAACTTGCGCCACGGGTGGCCGCGGTACACGCAGTTGGCGAGTGTCACTGCCGGGTTGAGATGACCACCGGATTTCTTGCCCACGTAGACACCGAGCATAACTGCCAATCTATGAAGCAATGAGTTAGTTGATTCATTCTCTTCTCTTCTCTCGTTTCTGTGTTCGACTTCCGCCGAGACTCTCGTTTTATTCAAGATTGCGCAAGCCGAAAAAGCCACGCACTCGTGAAGTGAAGTCGGAACACTGGGAAGGATCGAAACTTACCCCCAACCCCAAGAGATACTCTGGTAATCACCCTTGGTGCTGTTGCTAAGAACGACCTGGGCAACGACACCGTCGCCAAAGAGGATCATAATCATGGTTCCAAAGAACTCGGAGAAACCCTCCTGACAGTTCTCACGGATACGCGACCACCACAGCTGCTCCTCCTCATGGTGAGGAGGGAGCATGCTGCCAACGGCGTGCTCCTCGTGGGTCTCTTCGCCTCCCATGTCGTGTTTATAAGTTGGAATATGCTGCTTGCCGACGGACGACGACTCTGACACCGATTCCGCTGTATGGACAGTGATGACCATTAGAACCTCGATACGATAACGTTTACGATTTCTCTCGAAGGGACGAAGGGGTTCGAGGGTGGTGAGATGATGGATGGATGAGGAGTGAGAAGGACTTCGAGAAGGAGAGGAGATGGAGAAGGAGAGAAGACAAGAAACGCGGGGACGGTGAGATGAAGATGAGATGAAGAGATGGACGAAGGTCTGGCCAAGGTATCATCCCACGTCCATCCCATGGGGAAGCAGCATCTTCTTATGGTCCCCACGGGCTCGTGGTGTTCCCACGGGGCTGGACACCGTTGCAACCAATCCACCGGGTTTGGCAGTCATTCTTTGGGGAAAAGAGGAGAGAGGGATGGTTGGATGGACACATTGAGATGGGGCGGGGTGTTGATACTGGGGGAGTGAGGAGTGGGCAGTGGAAGTGGGAGGGGGTTTAGGTCTAGGGGGGCGTATACGGTATCGCCAAACGGAAATCATGGACGCTTACCCATCTTTGGTCACTTTGCAGATAAGTTGTATGCTTGATTTGACTCTTCTTCTTCTTTTTTTTCCTTCGGTCTCCCTTCAGCGGGTTAGGGGTGTTGCGAATGTGGATCTGTTGTACCGAGATCACTGATCAAGTAGACTGATTTTCTTCCGGGATCCCACGACGCTTAGGATCACCACGACCTGCGCGCGGCGGTGACTGATACGAGATTGGTTCGAAATCCTTGAAATGGCTTCCACAATTCCGGATATCTGGGATCACCGACAGTTCGGGTCCTTGGATGAACAGCCTCGGTGATACGAAAAGGAAAAAAACGAAGAGCAAAAGTTCGACAACTGTTCCTAAACGGGATTCGTGCGTTACGGGTCTCGCGGAGAGATGGAGATTGGCACGCGGGATGAAGATACCGAGGGGACTTGACGATGGACGACGCTATGGGATGGGTTGGTCAAGCGGAGGAGTGAGAAAAAATCGAACGATGTGGGCGGGTGAGATGAAAGTCGCTCAGTTTGTGCGTGTGTCCAGGTCGGTCAAGTGTGTGTATGTGAGAGGGAGAAAAAAAAAAAGAGAGAGAAGGAAGATGGCACGAAGGTGGGACAAGGGGATATGATGCAGTTCGGTGGCTCACACC